CACTTTACTGCACATCTGTCCGTTCACGAGACATTTCTGCCGTTAAACCGGGGAGTTACATGACAAAAAAAAAAAAAAAACTCATGCAGGGGCACTTTAATACCTCGACATGGCGACGGCAAGAAAAGGGAGAGAGCTTTTTACTATTTTGGAAACTAGCGCGGACGCAGAAAGTGGCACGGTGTGCGACAGCCAAGGATCTCCGCTCAATCTGTCTGCCGATCGTGTGAAGTGGTTTGAAATTCCGTACAGAAAGTCAGACGAGGAAGACGACGGAGTGCGGGAGGAAAGGGGGAAGGTGGTGGTGGAGGACGGCGGCGGCGACGCGGAGAATGGACTCGCGGGCGCAGCAGCAGCGGCAGCCCCCCCCGGCGGGGGGGGGGAGGCGGGCCGTGATCGCAGGAGGGGGTTGCAACATAATTTTGGTCACCGGCAGCAATGGCATTAAGCATGACGAGGAGGAATACGCGGAGGACTGTTATTATTCTACCTCCACTAACTGCTCCGACGCCACCTCAAACGATTCGGATATTGATTTCTCCGATTTGGAAGAGGATGAGCGCAGGAGTTTTTTCAGCTTCGGAGACGACCTGGAGGAGGACTGCACTTCACCAGACTTCTGGGGAGAGCCAGATCAGGTGATCGCTATTGAACCTTTCTCCGCTGTCAGCGGCCCTCAGCACTCGCTGGGGGATGATGGTGACACCCGTGACTATTTCCGGATACTCTTCCCAGATTCTCTTTTTGAACACATGGTAGAACAAACAAACAGCTACGCCCTCTATCGGCAGAGGAGGAGTGGGAAGTCAGACCCTCACTGGCACCCCACTGATGTCAGGGAGATGAAAGCTTATGCGGGCCTCAACATTCTCATGGGCATCAATCAGCTCCCAGATATCGGCATGTACTGGGCCAGTGACATTTTCATAGGCAACGCAGGTTTTAAAAAGACCATGACTGCCAGGCGTTTTGAGAAACTTACCCAGTATCTCCAGCTGTGTGACCGTGAGTCTGAGCCTGTGCGAGGGGAGCATGGCTACGATGCTCTCTTCAAAATACGGCCTCTCCTTGATGTGGTAGAAAACACAATGTGGGATGCATACACGCCTAACCGCTGTCTGACCATAGACAAGTGTGCCATTGTCATGAAGGGACTGTTCTCCTCCACCCAGTACATGCCCTCCAAACCTCTCAGGAAAGGGCTGACAGTGTGGATGCTGTGTGACTCACGCTCAGGCTACTGCCACAGGACCAAGATCTATGTTGGTAAACCCAGTGAGGATGAGGCCGTGGCCTCCCTGGGCTACAGAGTGGTGACCTCTCTAGTGCGTGGCCTGGAGGGTCAGTACTGCCATCTTTTCATGGACAGCTTCTTCACCTCTGTACCCCTCCTCCAAAGGTTGCTTAGGGACGGACTGTACGCCTGCGGGCCTACGCAACCGGCCCGTAAAGGTTACCCAGAGGTCCTAAGGCCTCGTAATGTTGGAAAGCTGGCCCAGGGGGAGTTTTACCAGTGCCAGCATGGCAACTTGGTTGCCACAGTGACACGAGATGTCAGGGTGGTTAACTGTCTTTCGACCAATTCCGCTCCAGGGATCGTAGGAATTAGTCCAGAAAGGGAGCAGCATGACATGGATGGGGAGGGGGAGAGCGACAGCATGGACAGCACCAGTTTGTCTTTTGGTGTGCCCAGGCCTCTACCCTTGCTGCTGTACCAGGAGAACATGAGGGGAGTGGACCTCTGTGATCAGCTGAGGGAGTGCTATCAGGTCGGCAGGCCATGTAAGAAGTGGTGGCGCTACTTCCTGTGGTTTTACGTAAACTTGTGCATTGTAAACGCCTACATTATCCAGAGGGAGAGCCGGGGGGGAAGCCCACCGGCAGGCTTCACCGGCAAACAGTTCAC